ACAATTGATATGATTATGAACAATAAATTTTGTTCGAAACGTCATCCAGTAAATAATACTGTTTCACTGTGTGATATACCTAATAAACAAACTAATATGGAATAAATCATCCGCAAAATCCAGGTCTTCTAGGTTCTTCACGTCGGTCCAGGATATCCCTGTCTTCTCGTTTCCCACTGTCTGACGACGCATAATCCAGTCCACCACAATTAGGAATATCATTGGTGATAATAAGCACCCTTGTCTGACTCCTGTGTTTACTCCAAGCGCTTCGCTGAGTTTTCCGTTGTGGATCACTTGACATGTGCCGTTGTCGTACAGTTGTTGAATAAGGTTGATGAATATTTGGGGTACGCCGTAGTACTCGAGTAGTTTCCAAATTACTTCGCGGTCAACGCTGTCGAAGGCCTTCTCAAAGTCTGTGAAGGAAGTTGAGGTAGAGATTTGATTGCCATTCCATGCTTTGTTCGATGATAATGCGTAGAGTTGCAATTTGGTCAGAACATGATTTGCCTTTCCTGAATCCAGCTTGTTCTGGTCGGAGTTCTGTATCCAACGCGTCCTTGATTCTCTGCAGGATGATGCGACTCAGGATTTTACTTGGCGTCGACAGGAGCATGATTCCTCGCCAGTTCTTGCAGAGTCCTAGGTCGCCCTTCTTTGGTAGTTTCACCAGGTAACCTTTCCTCCAGTCAGTAGGCACCTTTCCCTCCTTCCATATTTTTTGCAATAATGGAGTCAGCATGTCTGCCGTCGTTTCTGGGTCCGCTTTCAGTGCTTCCGGGGGTATTCCATCTGGTCCAGCTGCTTTTCCAGCTTTCAGAAGCTTGATTGCATTCATGACTTCAGTTTTCGTTGGAGGATTGGTGTCAACTTGCAGTTGTGTACGTGCTGTTGTTGGTATTACTGGACGGGTTGTAGGTGGTGGTCGGTTCAAGAGTCCTTTGAAGTGGTCCGCCCATTGTTTAATCTGTCTTTCTTCTTTGGTAATTGGGTTCCCTTGGCTGTCTTTTATAGGTTTCACTTGTGTTGATCTCTTCCCGGATAGAGACTTGGTTATCTGATATAGTGTCCTCAGGTCCCTTTTGCCTGCTGCCTTCTCAGCTTCAGTAGCCAGGTTGTCGTAGAATTTTCTTTTGTCCTTCCTGGCACTCTTCTTCACTTCTTTGTCCAGTGCTGTGTAAGTTGAGTTCAGCGTCTCTTTCTCTTGTCCATCTTTGCATTGAATCATTTTCTCTTTCACTTTTCTCCTCTCCTCTATTAGTTTCCAAGTGTCTGTTGAGAGCCATTCCTTGTCTTGTTTCTTCTTTCTTCCTAAAACCGTTGAGCACGTTTCGTTGAAAATTACCTTCAGAGAGTTCCAATGGTCTTCCACGGATGATTCCTCAGTGGTGCCACGTAGTGTTTCCTGCTTTGCTCTGACAGTTGCAGTGAAAATGTCCTGTGTGATTGTGTCCTTCAGTTTGTGAGTGTTGAACTTGCATTGTGGCCTATCCCCAGGTATCCTCGAGGCTTTCAGCTTCACCTTGAAAGTCCCTTGTACCAGATAGTGGTCTGAACCCACATCTGCTCCTCTCCTCGATCTTGTGTCCAGTAGGCTCCGTCTCCACTTCCTTGAGATTGAAATGAAGTCTATCTGGTTTTTGGTGTGTCCATCTGGTGAAATCCATGTTGCCTTGTGTATATCCCTGTGTTTGAACACACTGCCACCAATCACCAAATCATTGAAGGCGCAGAAGTCTGAGAAGAGTTCGCCATTTTCGTTCATTTCACCGAGGGCCTCACGACCCATGGTGAGTTCTCTTCCTGTATTGTCTCCTCCCAGCTTCGCATTCATGTCGCCCATCAGGATTTTGATATCGCTCTTTGGGACGTTGTCCATTACTGTTTGTAGTTGACTGTAGAAATCCTCCTTCTTCTCATGTTCTGAGGCGTTTGTAGGCGCGTAGCACTGAATGATTGTAACCTTCTTTCCTTTTGAGTTGAACCTGGCTGTCATTATCCTGGAGGAGATTGGTTCCCACTGCATGAGAGCTTTAGCCGCTGTTGGTGACATCATGATGGCTACTCCCTCGGTGTTCTCGTGATTGTCCTCTGGGTGACCGGAGTAGATTATTGTCTCTCCAGTTGATAGTTGGCACCTTCCACATCCGTTCCATCTGCTCTCGCAGATTCCCAACACTTCTATTCTATATCTCCTCATTTCTGCGGCTACCTGAGCAGCCTTCCCAGCTTCGTACATTGTACGAACATTCCACGTCCCCATCCTTATTTTTGCTTTCATCGAAAGAAGGCACATTGGCTGACTGACTTCCCGAAGGCTTTCACCAGCCTGCGTCATTTCACTTCCCCGATTCCAATGAAAAATAAGGTCATTGTTGATATTTTTAGTATTTTTAATATATTTATGCGTTGAAGTTTCTGTAGCAATTTGGTTAAGTTTTGGGGGTGGAGTTGTTAGCACCACGCCCCAACCCTCCCTCTTTATCCGGGCTTGGGACCGGCTAGAATACTAGTGACCTAGTAATCTAGGCGAGGTTAAATTAATGTCATATATAGAACATTAATTCATAGGATGGATAGAACTTGAAAAAAGGTGTGCAATTATAGAGTTAGTAGACAAATCGAATAAAAAGAAAACTTTACGTATTATTGCGTGAAATTTGATAAAATAGAATTTAACGTTGTAAAAAGGAAGAATTGATTCAGAATGATAAGTGGAACAAGTGAAATAATACCGGGGAATGTTCGAAGTGAGAACAGTAATAGTAACGAACAATTGACGTAATAAACGAAGACTATACAAATTGAATAGACAAAATTAAAAAAATTGGTAGAGCCAATATATGATTAGGGATCACCATACTTTGGCACAAAGAAGGGATTAAGACCATGAAAGTTGGCGGGGTTGAACTAACTTTTTCTGTACACACAGATCTGGCTTTTCTGTTTCGATAGCCAAAGCTTCAGCAATACAGATGAGTCGGGTACGTAGGGATTTGAGTAAATTACTCTTTGCCTATGCTGCTGGAATATATTCTCCTATCCGTGTGGAAAGCGCTCTCTAGCTACGGCCAGTATGCTTTACTCCACAAGTGCAGGTGAACTGATAGATGCACATGGAAGCGGCCAGACGGCGGAGCTTATCTTTTACAGAGATGGAGAACAACTTGCGACTGGAGAATGTCATTTGTAATTCTGCTGAAAATAATGTCTTACTGACTGCTGTAGAGAGACGGTTTTCGAGCATATTTGAAGCTTGACTACCTTTGAATTCCAAGTTCATAAATAAGGTTTTCTTTGGAACTGTGTCGGTGACCAGTTCAGACTGCTTATCTTTCATGTTACTGTCAATAAATCGGTTCAGGCAACCATTTTATGCGAGCGTGGCTTTTAGGAAGTCAACTCTTGAGTCAGAGTGATGAAGGTGTCTGTCTTACCTTTCTGACTCCGGTTTTGACATCTACATCCATACTGTTGTTGGAACGATGCTTCTTAGATAAGTGAAGAAAGTGACCTCTTTCAAATATCTCCCGTTGATGGTGATTGGTGCTTCTTGTTGTGGTTATTGGTTGGTTACTTTCATCATCTCCGTTTTCTCTGTGTCCAATTGAAGTCATGTCTTCGCTTCTAACCAGTTCTGTTAACTTGTTCGTTTTCGCCTGCAAGTTTTCGAGTTTGCGTTATATTAGTTGCATTCAACATGTTTAGTATTGAATTATTGGTTTTGTAGGGATTTTTATTGATTGGTTGGAGGATTTTATCATGACCTGACATCATTTAGAGAACCACTAGAAAACCTGGGTGTACTGGACAGCTAGCTGTTTCGTCCTAGTTTGGGACTCTACATCAGTACGCGTTCACCACCAGGGTTTGAAACCATGAAGTGAGAATTCATGGGTTGGTCACTGGATCGAGTCCCAGCGGCTTAAGGGTCTGCGAGCTTGCCTTGTAACCGGAAGGTTCTGAGTTCGAACTTTGGCGGTGGGTGCGTACTAATGTTTCTTGTTTCTTCTCATGGCCCCGATTCGGGACGTAAACACTGACGTGAATTGTTGTCTACAATTCTGTCTTGCAGACAGCTCCCACCCCAAATGACATAATAGTCAATGGTATAAACGAAGTAAGATTTTAAGATTTGATATAGTGGAAGTAGTTGTTAGATGAGAAACAAGATAGTTGAGTGTCTACTTGACAGGTGGGAAAAAGGCGAGAAAATAACCTTGATAAAATGTACTAAAGAAATATTTAAGTGTGATAATTCTGAATCACTTGTTAAAAACAGAGGCATACAAATAGGAAAGGCCCATGGTACAATAAGGGACTGAATAGACCTTTGCTTTACACATTCGTCTACGCCATACATGAGTTCTGAAACCTAAGGATTTGGAGATCATTTTCAAAGGGGAGGTTTTACTTCATCAGGTTCTCACGAAGTGGTCTAATAAATATTGTCATTCATTATCATTTTGATAACGACACTGAATAGTGTTCAGAGATGATTTAGAAAAGTGTGTACTCTGTGCGGTCAATTTAACTAATTCCACAATACTTGGAGATTGTTCTCGAAATAACTTCAGTACTGGATGTATGTATCGTCATAGTTTGGGACTCCTCATCAGTACGCGCTCACCGCTGGAGTTTGAATCCAGGACTTTCATGTTACAAGATAATCTCGTTAACTGTTCAGCTACTGGGATCCAATACACTGGCCCATAAATTCTAGCCTGCGCCGATTTGTGATATATTGCCATATACGAGCTCGACTTACAAGCGGGAAATCCTGGGTTTGAATCCCAGTGGGTTCGTACTGATGAAGAGTCCCAGACAAGAACGAAATGGGTGTTCAATATGTTTCGGTCCTCCAATTAATATTAGATTGTGATCAAACCTGTAGCAGTTATTATTATCATTTGAAATCTTATTTTTCCTTAAATGTTTATACATTTATGCTCACGCAAAATTTCTCTTATTCCACTTTACTTTTATACGAAATCAAGGTTGGTTTACCGTGTAAATCTGGTGTTTCTGGTGTCATCATGGTTGTTGTACCAAATCTACTCGGTTTAGCTTTATGGTCACCGCCTATTGATCGACATGGGAATTCAGCTAAAGGCATACACTTTTGTGAAGTGAGTTTTTTTTTGTTTTGATTATAGCTTGAAACCACACAGTATTTTCGGTACAAGTATGGAATTTTCAGCATACGATATCGGTAGCCCAAATTTGCAGGCCGACCATAGATATCAGGTGTACGTCGGTAGAGGAACGAACCCCGGACCATGTGCATGGTCGGCGAGAGTTATATTGATCCCTACCAAATTCAGTAATATATGTGTTTAAAAAGATTTTTTTCCACTCATTAGTTTTCTGTTGAATTCAGTACTACTATAAATTTGCCGTATATAATGATCGCATAAATTCTATTTCACAGGTAGACGTTGATGGACTTCTGTAGTAGGCTGTTGGAAATGCATTTTTGCCGGTGTATGTTAAGCATCTGGAACATATGAAACTAGCTTTAAATCTCGTTAACAGAGCTAGAAACATTATAACAGATAATGACGATATGGAGAACGAGATATCCAACATAAAACAGATTTTGATTGGAAATGGTTATCCTGAAAAGCTACTTGATAATAAGGGAGAGCATAAAGGGAAACAAAAAATTGAAAAATCCTGGCTATCGAAAGGACACAGCTGAACAACTTCAAAGACTATTTGCCTCATGTAATATTAAAGTCTATGTCAAACCTTCTGATTTTCTGGAGAAAGCGCTGGTGCATGTCAAAGATATAGTTCCCAGAATGTCACAAAGTAATTGTGTCTACAAGATAAAGTGTTCAGAATGTGATGCATGCTATATAGGGGAGAGCAGTAGGCAGGTGAAGGTCAGAGTGAATGAACGTAGACTATGCACCTAGAAATGAAGTAGAACTAAAAAGTCTAGAAAAAAGATCGGCTATAACAATGCATGCGACAAACAGCCGACATAAGATTGATTTCGACAATGTCGAAATTCTTGGAAGAGGATTTCGTTCACGTAAAGAAAGATTGACTTCTGAAGCCTTGCACATTTTAACCGCATCGAATGCAGTGAATAGGAAAGAAGGGATAGACTTGCCACATATATGGCAAACTCTTATGAAGCAAGACAGATGAGAAAACAATAAACACTCTATGAGCCTCCATGACCTTTTAAAACATGTAGTATGATGTTTATCACATAAGAATTCACGTATTTTCCATATGACAAATAACATACACACACACACACACTCATACAAAACTAATCTATACAAATCAACTATAGAAGAGTGAACACAACAACAATTTGACATTAGTCATTACAAATATATGTGATGACTGCTTGCATATTTCTATTGGTAAAAATGTCCATGAACAAATGACCTTCAAATAAACTGACTTCAATTTATGCAAAATTTTTGACTATATATTTTGATGATTAATAAAAATCCGAATAACTTTGCTGAAGAAGCTGTGGCTCACACAGCGAAACGTTCAGAAAAATCTTGTTTTAATTTTCCTAATACGCTGGGATTAATTTAAATAATTTATAATGATTGCATGGAGAATTTCATCATGAGCTGACATCAGTTGGAGAACCACTGGGAAATCTGGGAGTACTGGAAAGCTGTTTCGTCCTAGTTTGGGCCTCTTCAGGAGCACGCGCCCATCGGGATTCGAACCCAGGACCTTCTGGTTACAAGGCGAGCTCGTAGACCATTGAGCCACTGGGACCCGATTCAATGGTCCTTGAATTCTAACTTCTGCCAAACTAGGACGAAACAGCTGTCCAGTACTCCCAGGTTTTCCAGTGGTTCTCTAACTGATGTCAGCTCATGATGAAATCCTCCATGCAATCAAACAAAATCCCTACCAAACCAATACTTGAAAATTTATAATGAGTTAAAAAACTACTGAGTTGACTCATATTAGGGATAGCAGTTTAGATCCTGCATTCTTATACTAAGTTTAGCAGGTTTTACACACTGATTTCAGAGTATTGAAGGACTACCTTGTTTTTCCCGTCCTCGCTGGTTTTGACATCTTCATCTGTTGAGGAACTTAGAGTCTTTCTTCGTTATCTAGAAGGAGGACAATTGAATCGATAAGCATGTGATGCTGTGTCGATTCAGATGCCTGGAATGCATGTTCTGCATGAAAAGATATTGCTTCCCTCATCGAGAAATGTTAGCTGACAGAGGGCTGCCTTAGAAAATCAGTTTTTGGATTTTTTGGCCTCTCGCTTGCAGCATCCACTCGGGAAGATGTACGTCGCCTATTTGAGATACTAAGAGCCAATGGCTGGAGATTGTTGGTAGCGCATATGCAAATTCATTCGTTTCTCGTGATCCTTCGTGAAATTAATCTTTCTCTCTCTTTGATGTATTCTCCTGGTATGCAGCTACATATTATTGCATTTCTGGCGTACTTATGCCAATCAATTATTATATTATTGTTTCCTTTAATTCCTAGAGGAACGTAGGGCTTCAGCCGTGCGTCTCCACTGCGTTCGGTTCTCTGCTAGAGTCTTCACCTGGCTCCTAGTCTGCTCACACGTTTTCATCTCCTCTTCATATGACCTCCTCCAAGTCACCCTTGCACTGACGACCAACTCGCCGCTTCCCATTCAGTCGGGTTCCACTCGAGCAATGGCTTGTCTAGTGATGTCACTTGATGGTTTCCTCAGAGTATGGCCAGCCAATCCATCTCCATTTCTTCCTGCCTATTTGTTGCACAATCGGTTCCAGGGATCTCTGTTGCTGATCTTTTCTGGCCATCTGATCTTAAGTATTGAGCGAAGACAGCTGTTGATGAAGCTCTGTAGTTTGTTTGAGATGCTCTTTATGACGCGCAGTGCAAGTCTCTGATCCGTGTAGTGAGTAGCACTGACTTCACATTGGAGTTGAAAATCCGGATCTTATTTTTGATGCTGAGCGCTGTTGACCTCCACAGAGACTTGAGAGTAGTGAAAGCTTGTCTTGCTTTTCCGATTCTTGGTTTGATATCCTCGTCAGTTCCGCCTGCCAGTCAATACTATTTGGTATCTGTGTGTTTTTATTCTGGGCTGAAATAAATCTACCAACAAGGATAAAATTGATAACAATATCAACTTTAAAAATATAGTTCAAAATCAATGAATAAAGTGTGTGTGTGCGTGTCTGTCGTGTCGTTTTGTCTTTTAGGACATTTGTGATCGATTAACACCTGGTTCTTATCTGATCTGATCTGACCTAAACTGAACTGAACTAAATGTGCTACGCAGATTATTTATTATGATTATTGTTACCTTTAGTTCCTAGCGGAACATACGGCTTCAGCCATACGTCTCCATTGCGTTCGCTTCTCCGTCAATGTTTCCACCTGGCTCCATGTCTGCCCATATGCTTTCGTCTCCCCTCCACATGACCTCCTCCATGTCACCCCACCCTTGCACTGACCACCAACTAGCTAGCCGCTTTCCGTTCGGTTTCCACTTGAGTGATGGCCTGGTGTGTGATAGCACTTGTTGGTTTGTTTTCTCAGAGTATGGCCAATCCACCTCCATTTCTTCCTGCATATTTCTTGCACATTCGATTCCTGCTGGGTCGGTTTGTTCGTTCGTTGCCAGAGATCCCTGTTGCTGATCTCTCCTGGCTTGCCGCCTGATCTTGAGTAGTACTGAGAGAAGACAGCTGTTGATAAAGGTCTTAAGTTTGTTTGAAGTGACCTTTGTCACACGACGTGGTGTCATGTCTCTGATCCGTATAGTAAGTAGCAATCACTTCATAGTGGAGTTGAAAATCCGGATCTTATTTTCATTTTCATGCTGAGTGGAGCTGTCGATCTCCACACAGACTTGAGGGAAATGAAGACTTGCCTGACTTTCCCGATCCTCGCTGCTTTGATATCCTCATCAGTTCTATTGGCCTGTAGTTGAAACGATGCTTCCCAGGTAGGTAGGTAAAGAAAGTTGCTTCTTTCAGGTTCCTTCCATTCATGCTGACTGTTGTCTATTGTAGTTGGTGTTGCTGTTGACCAGGAATCTGCATCACTTACTTCTGTTTTCTCAATGACCACCTAAAGTCCTGTCTTTGATGCTTCTTTTATCGCCAACTTGTTGCTTCTCACTTGGATATATTTCAGCTTGTGGGAAATCAGACATATATCATCGGCGAAGTTCACATCCTCCACGTTTTTTTGTGTGTGTTCATTTCATGCCTGTCTCCTCGTTGCCCGGCCCGCTGTCTGTCACATTACCCAGTCTACCGCAATCAGAAGTTTATACGAATTTACATCACCTATCAAGTTTACTATATTTTATGAAAGCCCAAATAAAAGTTGACTGAGGCAGCAAAATGGCGTTCAAGTAGATTTAAATCCTCTAGAACAAGAATATTTAAATGAGGTTTGCGGTAAAGTCTTTTAGAATATGTAGAGATTGCAAGTCGTGAACTAGTCTGCACTGTTGCAAAACGAGTCTGACAGCCATGTGATCATCAGTGGTCTCCAAGTATTGTTTACGAATATCTTGAAGAATCCAAAGAAACAATCTAAAGATATTTAGCTGGTTCTAGAGAATAGTCAATACATTGTCGCCTTCCAACTACTCTTAATCATTTTCCAACTCATTCAACCCTACGGCGTGCCCCAAGTCTTTATCAACCTCATTCAACCAGGTTTCAGGTGATCCACAACGGAAAACTCTACGAGGCGTTTGAAGTGAATACTGAAGTAAGACAACGCTACCTGCCTATTATCACTAGCGATGATATTCCTAATTGTGGTAGGCTGGATCATGCGTCAGACTGTGCGAAGGGAGTGAGAAGACAGGAATATGCTGGATGACACATAAGAAGACTCTAAAAGACCTGGACTTCGCGCGTGGATGATCTGTTTTTGATGTCACACAAACTCCAAGAGTTGCAGGCAGGCGAAAACCAACAAACTGGCTGAAGAGGTTGGAAGCGGAGACAGGACTCCAGGTGAAAATAGAGAAGATGGAAGTGATGAAGATAACCAACCAACCAACAGCGAAAACAATCAGCACTGATCACTATCAACAGGAGAGATTTGACAGAGGTTACTTCCTTCACTTATCTAGGAAGCATCGTTTCAACCACAGGCA